CAGCAGAGGGTCTGCCAGGGAGCAGCTACTTATTCAGTGTCAGATGCATGAAGAGACCTAGTGGGGCAGAAGGTGTCCCTGGGGGGAAGGGGAGAAGACTTCTTGAAGGAGACCTTGACTGTACAGGCAGCCACAGCCAGGCATCCTAGGAGACAGCACACAGTTGACATGGAGGGAGTGGTGCTGGCCTCGGTCAGCAGGGGTCTCAGACTGGGTGAGCTGGTCAGCTGAGGACTGAACAGCCTGCACCAACCCTGCTGAGGTCCCCAGGACCCAGCCTGGCCGAGCAGATGTGCTCTCTGCAGCCTAATGACATCAACAGGTAGACATTGCTACCATTCATATTACCTGCCCTTGTCCCAGGGCTCCTCCCTCTCACTTATCAGAGACCAGAGTGCTGGACAGGGACTCAGGGAGTTAGAAAGTGAAAGTTCTTGACCAGAGTCCAAAGCTGAATACCTGAGCACCTGGTGAGGCAAAGGCTGCTGGCTGGCTGTAGGGAGAACCTGGTTTTGGGGTCGGGTGAGCCTGAAACTGAATCTCAGCCAATGGTGAAGTCTTCAGCTCTCTGAACTTTTTTCTTCATCTGTAAACTTTGCCAGGGGCTTGGGATGTGATAGCCCCATAAAGCAGGGACTATGGTGCCTGTCTGGGGGTTAATTATGTTGAGTGCTGAGTTGTGGGGGTGTGTTAAGTATCACCTCTCTCTCTTTTCTCCTAGGGTTGCGTGTTAATCTGATGGGACCTTTCACACTTTTTGCTCTTCTAGTTAGAACCCATGGGTTCCCTAGAGAACACAAATGAACCCCAGATTGTGGCTTCTAAGATTCTCATTTCAGTGTCTGGGCCAAGAGAAGAAATGTGGCCACCTGCTTCTCTCCTTGTGCAGCCTGAAGCTGAAAAGCTCAGTGGGTGGTATGGTTTTCAAACAGGTTGTGGATAGGTTTGGAAGCAGGCCATTGCAGAATTAAAACTCCCACCTTCCAGCTGAGGCTGTGTCCACCCTTTCCTGCCCTTCCTACCATGCACAGAGCCCAGGTGGCAGGCAGCTAAGTTCAAGTACTCCATGAAATTCCTTTCTAGTATCATAACCAGGAATGGGCCTCCTGATTTAAAATGAGAAGTTTGCCAATGTAGGTAGTTATTAAAACCTAAGGCCAGCCAGGGATTTGGCTCAGTGGTTCCGCTTCCTCCCTCGCAAGCGAAAGGGCCCAAGTTCAATCCCTGGTACCAAAACAAAACAAAAAAGAACCCAAGGCCAAATTGGCTCCTTTCTTCCTCCTGGGAGTGCAGGGACATGTGCCTTTTCTCCCACTCCTACCCCATCTCCGCTGACTCCATCCTACTTAGTGGAGCAAATGATTATAGAGCCTGGGAGGAAAAGCAGTGAGTGGGGGCGGGCCCTGGACAGCACGCAGATGGGCTATAGAAGCCTCACTTCCTGTCCGTCACCCTGCAGCGGGGCCCCTTGGTTCCCAGACCTGTGCACGCTGCAGCCTGGGGCCCATCCCAACCCACGTGTGTGTACCATTGCCACCACAGTCCTCATACCTGAACACTTAGGGTTCCATGTGCCAGGTCCTGGACCACACAGTGTACACAGGAGCTTTTGTGTGTGTTTGTGTGAGTGTGTGTGTGTGTGTGTGTGTGTGTGTGTGTGTGTGTGTGTGTGTGTGTGTGTGTGTGTGTGTCTGTGGTATCAAGGATTGAACCTAGAGTCTTGAGCTATATTCCAGCCCCTTTTTAAATTTTGAGACAGGGACTTGCTAAGTTACTAAATTGTCCAAGCTAGACTGAAACTTGCAATCCTCCTGCCTCAGCTCTGGGATTAAAGGTATGTGTCACTATGCCCTGCCACATGAATTCACTTGTACTTTGAGATGCTTAGGAGATGGAGTGTTATTCTTCACAACCATGGGACTTCCCCAGGGACAGACTCTTCTTTCAGATCCAAACCTGAGACTCCTAACCTCAAACTCTATGCTTGTCCAAGTTCGCTTCATTGTTTATTTACTCAGCCAACATTTCTTGAGCACTAACTTTGTGCCAGGCACTCTCGAGACCAGCTGAGTCCCACTTCTGCCGGGATCGGTGTCCTGGCTATAGTTTGTTACTCCCAGACGCTCCTGCCTTCCCCTGCATTTCTGAATACAAGCATGAAAACCACTGCAGCATGGCTCAGGACCCAAATGCTAGCAAGGCTTCAGAGACAGCACTTCCCCACCTCCGAGATGGAGGTGCTGACTGCCGGGCTGTGGGCGGGACTCATGGGAGCTGCTAGTGAATCATAAACTCCCGTCCTGTTGCTCAACCCGGAGCAGGAAGTGTCCCTCCTCCAGCTGCCAGCTTGCCAGAAGCCCTGTTCTACACAGACTATGGCTCATTTGCTCTAGCAACGTGAGAGCCCTGTTGCTGGGGAATCCGTCTGTTCTCCACTCCTCACAGTTGTCCTTCCACATCACCGGCTCACCTGGAGAGGTGCATCAGGTGTGCACTGGTAGTTCTGAGGTCGGGTTATAACTTATTCCGACCTCTGCTTTCCTCTTAATGACAGCCAGCTTGGCATCCAAGCAAACAGCCCTTTTTTAAAGCTTTCCTGAGCTATCAGATTAGGAGATTGAACTTGATAGAAAAAAATACAGCCCCAGGATTGTAACACTGACTGGTGGCATAATGGTGAAGGAACGTGGGGATCGGTGAAAGGGTTACCAAGTGCAGGTGCAGCACGGGCTGTCACAGCAGGGCTCTCCAGCTTCAGTCACATGGAGCGGCCCTTCTTGTTACTGTGGGTATCTGATGCTGGAGAACTGGCCGTCGGACTAGCGGGGAAGTCAGGTTTGTGATCTAACTGATGGGCTTGAGCCGGTGACAGGACATCTGCCCCTGGGATGAGGGCCTTTTGGGTGAACTGGCCCTGGATACACAGCTGGAGAACAGAGTGGCTGTACCCGGGCCCTCCAGCCCGAGTCAGCGCCGCACATTGCCATGGTGGGCTTGCTGCCATCTGAGGGGTTTCTGCTGAGGCTCCCCGAGTGGCTGTCCAGAGCTGAATATGGATCAGTAGCATATTGGACTCATCAGCAAGGACCGCGGGAGTCATCAGCCCCTTATGGATGTGAGGCCAGAGCAGCAAAGGGGGTGAGACCAGGCCCTCTGTGACTGGTCCTTAGAAATCGCTCCCAATTGGCCAGAAATAAGGTGGTGGCAACACTGGAAGGGAAGATAGCAGGACTGCTGGGTCCAGCAGCCAGGCTGGCAGCCATCTGCAAAGCACTGGGCTTTCCAAGGGCTGGGCTGGGGTCTGTGCTCATGCTGCTGAGTTCCAGGGTGGCCTCTTTTTGTCCTCGTGTGGCCCTTGTTCAGCTTCTGTTGAGCATCTGGTGTAGTTGTGTGGAGCAGCAAGGAGGGGCAGTTCCCGAGATTGAGGGGCCTTAGGGTGCAGCCAGGGTCTTTGGGAAAACCCAGTGAGCAGGGCCCCACAGCCCACCTGGAGTCCTGAGGAACTGCACGCTGTCACGGCCGCTTTCTACTCACACCTGACAGCTCTGTGTCCCTAGGGAAGTGTGGCGTCCACACCGGGCAGCTTCTCTAAGGGGACCCAGAAGCCGCCTAGCAACTGTAATAGGAACAGAGTCCTGAGCACGCCAGTCTACCGAACTGGGGACTTGGGCCTGAGGCTGCCCAGAAATCTGGACTATTCCAGTGGGTTCTGAGATTCACCGCCATCCAAAAGCACTGCCGGAGCCTCTGTCCCGACAGGCATCTGCCAACTGCACAATGAGCGAAGAACGGGGAGGAGCTGTGTGGACACGAAGGCGCTGAGGATGGGTAGATAGATGCCTGCCCTCGGCTGAGGTGGCAGAGTGATCATGGCTCTCCAGAGCAGCAGAGGGGGACGACTTCAGTAAGCTGCCTAAGCAAAGCAAGGCCATGTGCAAAACAAGGTCAGTTCCAAGGAAGATGTGTGTTTGGGGCTTTCAAGTTCACTGTTTCACTTAACCGTCAGCACAGAGATAGAAAGCAACCTGCCCAAGGTCACACAGCTAGCATGTGGCTGAACCTAAATGCACACCCAAGTCTATCTGGGTAGAGGCACTAACAGCTGCCCCTCTACATTCAGAGCGGAGAGATTGTAGGGAGCTGTAGAGGATGACAGGTCCATCACAGCCCAAGAGCTTGGGCTGCATCTTCAAGGATAGAAGATTCAGATGGTACAGGAGGATGTCAAGACTTCAGTGGATGTAACAGGGCAGAGACCGAAAGGAGGCAGGGGCAAGTCAGTCTGCCTGCTGGCCTGGGCTGGACTTCAGAAAGATTCCTGAATCTATCCCTGCCTTCAGGAGGTGTCTCTCTTATAGGAGAGACAAGAGTAGGCTGCAGCGGTCAGGCCGCATTGCAAGTTTTGGTCATTCTGGGGAATCTCAGAGGAAACCTTTCTGGAGCCTGGGGGCACGGATTCCGGTTATCAAATGCCCGGGGTTGTTCGGAGCTGCCCTACTCTAAGGTCACTCACTACTTGTTAAACAAGTTGAAAACAATCAAATATACTTTTCCCTAAAATGAAACCTGGTATGAGTCACTGCAAAGATAAAGAGTTCTCCAAACCTCTGGCCCCTTGGGGCTGTGGATGTAGCCTCTAGGGTCAACCAAAGGGTACTGGCAGCAGAGGAGCACACGGGGGTGCCTTCCCCATTATGTGTGATTTTCCCTTCTGGAAGTGCTGCTTTTCTGCCTCTCTTTTCACAGTGGATGCTGTCTGACAAGTAAAGATGACAATGAACCCTTTGTCGGCACAAAATGCTTGGAGAATTATCACTAAGCCAATGACAGCCATGGTGATTGCAATAAATTGCCCCTGAAGAAATTGATAAATTGCCACTTTCTGCAGCCATTATGTTTGGCTTTGTATCTGAGGAGTCAACAACTCCTGCCACACACACACACACACACACACACACACACACACACACACACAGCAGTCTGCCCTGTGTTGGATGACATTTATTCGTTTTATGCATCCTGGATTCTTCTAGCTGTCCCACCTCAGTTCCTGTAGAAAGACACTGGAGTCTGAGCCACTAATTATTCCCAGCCCCAGCAAGGTTTCCTCCCCAAACAGGATGTCTCAGGCCAGAACTGCCCTCCCTCAGTGGACTCTCTAACCGAGCATCAGTCACCACTCCCGCTCGAGTCCCTGCAGCCAACAACTGGAGTACAGGCTGAGGGGGAGGCAGCCGGGCTGCCCTGACCCGTAACAGACACCTCATCTCCTGAGAAGCCGAAGTCAAGCTGGATTCAGGCTGGGGATCAGAGAGGTGGTGGCCCATCTTACACTACAGTTGCCAAGAGACCGGAGGGCTTCTGATTCTCATCATAGCCAGATGTCGCACCTGCCTATTGGTGAGTCTGGTTAGAGCACAGACCCATATGCAAGGTGGTGTAGGGAGTGGAGGCCCTGCACATCTCTGCTGAGTCCAGTGAAATGGACAGCTCCTGGATTGCTGCATCGCCTCCAGACTGGTAGCAAAGAGCAGTGTAACCAGGTTCTTGCAAAATAGCCAGTGAGACTTTCTCATCTGCACATTTTCATGGCCTCCTTTTGAGGGATGGGAGTCCAGGCAATTAAGTCCTGAGCTTATTCAGAGTACAGTGTCCAAGGATTTATTGCACACAATGCCTGCAGGTAGTGAGAAGCAGCTTTGTGGGTTCTGGTTTGTGTTGTTCAAAAAAATGTTAATGTTTATGATGCATTTCTGTAGAACGCAAGCCTCTTGGGGATTGTACATTTTACTTATTGGTAACCATTTCTGTGTTGGTTTATCATAGAACGGCTGATGCAAATAATGGAACCGGATATTTCTAGAATGACTCACATGTCTAGATGTTTGTAAAAAGCCCTATAAGTTATATGTTCACTTTTATTTTTGCAAAGTGGTGTGGGGATAAAACTGTTTTCTGTCAGACAGAACATGCAAGTGAATGTGTGTGTGTGTGTGTGTGTGTGTGTGTGTACATTGGTTTGTGTGTGTGCCTGAGCTTTCTGATTTCTCTTTGGTGGGAACATATCCGCCTTCCTTTTAAAAATATAATGATTTTTTTATGATGTCTAAATAACGATTCCAGGCAGTATTACAAGAAATGTAACAGTAAAATGTTTGTAAGAGTCCATCAGAAAGGGAAAATGTCCACAGAGAAAATAGAAATGCACCAATTAAGATGCGTGTGGCTGTCACCCAGCTCTTAAATTCTGATTTGAGATTGGCATCCTCTGTATTCTCCCCTGCTGTCAGCTGTAGGAGGAAAGGGGTCAGGCAGGGAGAGAGACATGAGGCCCTAGATCCTCAGGCCTGAGAGAGCAAAGCCTGGGATGGTGCTACCCGAGGCTTAGTTTCTGGGGTAGAAGGTGGCTCCAGATTTGGGAAACAGCCTGAGAACCGGCCCAGTGAGGAGAAGGGTGAGCTGACAGGAAGAAAGTAGGCGTGAACCTCGTACCCACCAAGTGACCACCTGTGACACCCACGGAAGGACCCACCCATCCTCACTACCTGGGTGGCAGCTTGAATGTAGAGACGTGGCAGGAGTAGGGTGCAGTGGATCCAGGTCAGGCCAGAAACAACCTCAAGGAAGTCCCTTAACATGCCTAGGATTCAGTTTTGTCATCTGTAATGGAAATACCGATAGCCTTCCCCGTGTCACCCCCACTCACACACACACAGCCATCACCTCTCTGCTTTGTGAGCCTAATTCGCCTCCTGGTTCCTCCCGGTGATTGCAGATGTGTCCAGCTGGGTACTGGCTGGGAACTGAGATGTACCCTCCCACTGCCTCTGTGAGGGAGACTGACCTTGTCTGTGTCCTGGGGAAGCCCTGTCTTACTACACTGGGCAGTCACCAGGAATTGGGAACTAGGGGATTTCCCTGAGAGCTGCTTCTATTTGCATAGAGGGCACTGGTATTTGTGTAGATTGTGCGGATAGTTCCCAGTTTACAATGGTTTAACAGGATTTTGTAAAAACAGTTATGAAAGCAATGTGCATTTAGAAGAAATCATACTTCAGATTTCACCTTTTAACTTATGAAGAGAAAGAGTTTATTTTGGTTCACTACTTCAGATTGAGAAACCTGATCTTTTCCTGGGCTGGCCATATGTAGATGATCCTGAGTGGTAGAATGGAGACCCAGCTCGGAGCCAGGCCCTCAGTATGTGGGGAAACAGCCGACTCTTTAGGGTGCGCTATGTGGCTGAGAGAGGATGTTCAGGAGGGGAGATGGTTCCCACGCATTCTCAAGTAAGGGTATTTTCAACTTGCTGTGGGCTGATCTGGATGTAGCCCCACACTAAGTCAAGGAGTATGAGTATACTTCAGATCCGTAAGTTGGGAAGACTTTATGGAAGCTATTATTGATTTCATCTGAGAATGTGAATTATTCATATTAAAGAGCGTTAGGTTTAATATTAACATTAGCATAGGAGAAGTAGTGCAGACTACTGTTGTCCACCACCTTGGTTCTCTAAGGGAAGATCAGGCTAGTGACATCCTCTTAGCTGTGTGCAAAGACCAAGGGGACCAGAGGAAAGAAATCAGTTCTGTCTTAAAGATCTGGACCTTCTTATTTGAACTTGAATTTTCTTAGTTGGAGGGAAGGAACCTGAGGGCCCTTTGATTTGAGCAGAAAAAAATAAAAGCCTGACATCTGGTTAGGAAGTGGCCAGAAAGGAGACTGTAGACCAGGCTGGTCCTGTCTGGGAAGAACCAAGGAGATGGCACATCTGCCTTTGCCACAGCTGGGTCTTCCTTTCCCTGGACAGCCTGCCTGATAGAAACTGGCTGACACCCCCACAGGCCTAGGAGCCTATCGGTCCAGAAGCCTTATAGCTTCCTTCCATGGGTATCCCCTACCAGCCTGGATCCCAATGATCCCCAGATCTGGTGTCTGACTTTCTGCTTTGACCAGAGCCACAGAAGTCTATGTGTTTACTGTATTTGAACTCACCTGTAAGGAAGGCCTCTGTGTTAGTAAGTTTCTCAAATAGCAAAATAGTTGGCCAAGTCTAACAGTATTACAGCCTGCAGTCGGGTTACAAACTCCTGATGTTGCTTCATCATCACTGGTGCCAAGAGCCCCAGACAGGTTTTGGGAAGGCTGCCAGGAGCTACAAGCACACTCTGCCCTCAGCCACACAGAATCCAGAGGTTACGACATTCAAGCTACAGGCAAAATTGAGTACCTACTGGGTGTCACGACCTGAGCTAGGTGTGAGAGGCACAGAATCGAATGTGACCCCCATCTGGTGGGGTGCTAGAACGCATGGATTCAATCAGTGGCAATGGAGCAGAAGCGCAGCGTGAGTCCGGGCGTGAGGCTCCCCTCCATCCTGGCCCAGGAGGAAGCAAGAGCTACTCTTGGGCTCTTGAGCTCTTCAGGACTCTTGCAGAAGTTAGAGCTAGCCCATGGCAGAGTTGGAGGGTGGTTGCCTGACCCTCCCCAGGCTTAGCAACAGGAGAGTGGAGCCTGGGAACAGGGGAGGGTCCTCCAAAGGCTTCCTGAAAAAGGTGAAAAGACTGGCCAGAGGGGGAAAGTGGACTTTGCCAAGGCCGAGACTCATGACACTGGAGGCCCGCTGAGTTCCTGGCAGAAACCCTGCAGCTGCCTCTGTATGTCTCAGCTGCCTCTGCCCTTTCTTTGCCCCTGTGCCTCCCCGCTCAGGAGCAAGGCAGAGGCTTCTTTCTGATTCTGCCAGGGGAGGGGCTGGCACAGCCACAGCCCACAAGGCCCCAGGGTTTGCAGCTCCAAGTCTCCCTGGAGAGCAAAGAAAGCAACCAACTCCAGACGCTGAGGCTGCAGATTCAGCAGTGGGCCTCCAGCCTGGCTGGATTAACTGGCCTGTAGGGAGCTGGCTGCCCCCCCACATACCCAAGTTCCCTGGGCAGAGTTAGCCGTTCCTCCCTGGCTCCCGAAGTGCCTGGTCCTACCCTCCTTGGAGCACTTTGCTCCTGTTTGTCCCATGTAGCCACCTTTCTCCCAAAACCCCTCAGAGGCACTGCACTACTCCAGAGGGTGCACTGCGTAGATTCCATGAGAATGAGGCCCACCGGGTGGTTCGGAGAGACGACTCTACGGCATCCCTGCTGCTCAGCCCCTGGCTTTGGTATTGCCCATGGGGGCCTCCTTCTTCACATTTCCAACCAGCGCTGACCACCACCTTGCCCTGCCCATATGCTGGCAGCAGGGGATAATAAACTGTTCCAATGAACCATCTTTCTGGGCCAGGCTTTCAAATCAAGGCAGTGAAATAGTCCTGAATGGGAGGTGGCCATCTGGCGTCTCAACCAGGAGACTCAGTCCTCTGGGATATCCTCTTAGGGTTATAGTGGGCACCTGGGACCCCCAGAACCTCCATGATCCCCAACAGCACTCTTCTGCCCTACCCCAGGGTGGGGTAGGCTGACAGGAGTGTAGGAGACACTGATACCGTGGGTCTCTATGGGACTGGGGGGACTGGGAACTGAGCCCACAGGAGGGACCTGGAAGAAGGCCAGGTCTGGGGTGGTTCTTGCCTACAGGTGATTCACTGACCTGCTCGCCCCTTCCATGGTCCTGTATTGAGCACCTGCTACAGAGCTTTCTAATGTGTGGTTCCAGACCAGCAGCATCTGAGATTCTGGTCCCAGAGCCCAGGAGCAGGTTTCACAAGCTTCAGGTGAAGCCAGTGCACTTCAATTTAACCAAATGTGTGCTGGCCCTGCACTGAGTGCAGAGGGGACTGAAGTGAGACTTGTTCAGTTCCTGTCTCTGAGGCACTTGGAGTCTGGGGTGGAGAGAGGCAGCAAAGGGGAAAATACCAGCCAGTGGAATGGAGGTGGCTCTCAAGGGCTATGGAGGCAGGGTGGCCTCTGGGGTGGCCTTGATCCAGGAGCTGAGGATCTTGCCAAGAAGGTAGGCCAGTGCCCCAGTCCCAAGCCACCCTGATGCCCTGTCCCTACTGTCAGCTTTTCCCTACTCTGCCCAGTCCCTTTCCTCTACCCCTCAACCTCCAGTCCCACACAGCAGTCTCCTCTCCCCAGCTGTCTTGGGAGAGATGTGTGCACCTCCGGGCCATTAGCTCAGCATGGTTTGGGAAATTTTTAAGAGTACAACTTTCCATTCGGCAGAAAGTCTATTGATTTGGATGCATCTATTTCTGCTTTCTACAGACAAAAGGGTTTTCAAAAAATCCTAGGGAGAGGGGAATAAAATGAAAACTGAGTGAATTGTACAAGCCCATTACTTATTTGCGTAGCATCCACACTGCACCTCATTAAAGTACCACCACCCCCTGGGTAGATGAGGAGACTGGCCTTGGAAAGGTAAAGTGACACCCAGGCATCTTGGCTGGCAAGTTCTCAGCCTGCAGCCAA